GCACTTAGATAGTGCTTACCACACGACAGGCATGCAGAATATTTTTATATGTATAAATGAAGGAATGTGATTCAAATACCCTCTCCCTGTTCATGGATTGCTTTGTTTCTTTTGCTAAACAGAAACTATTTTACAGAATGCTTTTCAGTTATTGCTGGTGCTTTACAGATTTCATTTAACAAATCATTCCTGTCCCAAGGTCTTAGACATAATGTCCTGTATTTTCTTCCCCGAGTTTTAAAGTTTTGCCTCATATTTAAGTCTTTTCAACCATTTGAAATAGATTTTTTTATGAATGGTGTGAACCAAGATCCAATCTCTGTTTTTCCCTATACTGATCATCAATCACACCCACATCGATCATTGAGCTGTCCCCCACTAAGCAGCAGAGCCTGCACAGTCCTACAGCAAGTCCCTGGACACTGGTGAGTTTGAGTCTAGGCTCCTGACTCTTTCCATGCACTCACGTAGCTCCCCCTGTGCCAACGTTGCACAGTCTTGTTATGGCTTTATCTCTGGTGGGTCTCATCACTGGTGGGAGCGTCCTCCCTCCCACGCCACCCCTAGGAGCACCTTCTTCTTAAGTATCTTGACTATTTTGAGGCCTGTGCTCTTTCTTATAAATTTTAGAAGCAACTTGTCAACTTCAAAAACAAACAAACAAAAACAGAAACAAAATCATTGGTATTTTTATTGGAATTCCATTGAGTCTACACATCAATTTGGGGGAAATCGTCATCTCTCTGATATTGACACGACTTATTAATTAACAGGATATATAACTCCATCTATTTTAGTCTGCTTTGATATCTTTCAGTCAAGTTTAGTAATTTTCCACATAAAGAGCTTGCCCACAAGTGTCGTTAGGTTTATTGTCAGGATGCTGATGTTGTAATGAAATGCAATCAACTTACTCGAGTGGTCTCACATTCAGCAACCTTGCTAAAAAACCTCTAGTTTTACATTATTCTAGATTTCATCCATAGATAACAGTGTTATCTGTGAATAATGACAGCTTTGCCTATTCCTTTTCTAATTTTTAGAGGTTTTATTTATTTTTTTATCTTATTCATTCAACAAGTATTTACCGAACACCTACAGAGTGTCAGGCACTATTCTAAGCACTGGAACATGGTGAACAAAACAAAAACCCCTGTCCCTGTGGAGCTGACATCTGATTACGGAACCGACAGGACCCGAAGTTCAATGTTGAAAAGAAGTAGTGTTACCGGCATCACTGTCCTCTTCTGATTTTAAAGGGAATTCTTTCCAGATTTCGCCATTATATATATAATGTTTCCATAGGATTTTTTGGTAAATGCTCTTCATCAAGTTAATAATTCCGAGATTGCTAACAGTTTTTATCATGAATAAAATTTTAATTTTATTAAATGTCTTCTCTGCATCCATGACATGATCACATTAATAGTGTCCTTTTCTCTGTTGATGTAAATTATAGCAATAGACTTTCTGATGCGGAATCTTGAGTTCCTGAGACACATCTGACAGTACCTTCTCTCCTGGGCACTGTTAGATTTGGGTTGTTTACGTGTTGTAGAAGATTTTGCATCCACGTTAATGAGTGAGTGTAGACTACGCTTTTCCTTTCTTATACTCTATCTTTTTAACAATTTTGGTGTCAAGATTGTACTAGTTTCATACGAATAGTTAGGGAATGTTCACTCCTTTCCTATTTTCTGGAAGAATTTGTTTAGGATCGAAATGATCTTTCCTCATATTTTAGTTAGAAACCTAACACATAAGACTACTACAATCCAGTGGTGTGAGCCATGCCAGGGTGTGAACCCTAGGGGAAAGGACAGGTGGTTAGTCCCACCAGGAGTAGGACACACCTCCTACTCCTGGTGGGCTTCCTTGAGTTCTGGAGACAGCACACACCACTTAGGCAATACTGTTGTGACGCATTTATCAGGCGACACAAAACTGCCAGGTTTGAGAGGTTTCACAGCAAAAGAGGGGTCTCCAGCAAAGCCATGCTGCAGTGTCAGGGGCCCTGCCACTGGGGCCATAAGACTCAACAGACCCCACAGTGCTAGGGGTGTCTGTAGTACAGACAGTGTGGAAAGCCCCCAGAGGAAAAGTCAGTGCAGACACCTAGGATTCTGGAGCAAGGTCACGTCATCGGCAGAAGACATCAAGGAAAGGGCCACTCCTGGCTACCGGGCCCTAGTGGAGACTGTGTCTGATCGTGAGGCGTCCATGTTTACGACACCAAAGCTTCTCGTGAGTGGTGTGCTGCAGGTCCACCAACAACGGAAGTGCTACAGCTAGGACCAAACCAAAACACATCTAGAGGCACAGAGATGCAGCAGGTGGCCCAGCCCCCATGCCTCTCACCTCTGCTGCACCACTGTCTCTTCCTCAGCGCACTCCCGACCCTGACACATCATGGGGTGATCATTAAAACTAGGAGGAAACACTTAAACCTGGTTTATTGGGGGGTGGGTAGCTCAATATATTGGTGCACATCTCTTCCAGCTGCACACAGAGATGGCCTGAAGACAGTGGTAAGGCAGAGCTCTGGGTGGTATGCCTGATCAGCCACAGTGTGCAGAAAAAGAAGTGGCCTGCGGTAATGATTACAGGATCCTAGGCAAGGGCTAAAGCTTGGTCAGGCCTCTGGAGGGAACAAGGTTTGGGGAAGAGGCATCCAGATGGACCTTGGGAAAGGGCACGATGTGCAGGTCTTTGCATTACACATTAAGGTCAACCAGAGGGTGTCCGTGGCTCTAGGGGCACTAAAAGCCAAGCTTTGAGATGAGTCAACCAACAGATGTCAGCCAGCCCCTATCCCCCGCAGCCCTGGTGTTCTCATAGTAGATCCATGAATGAAGTGACCATCATGGCCGAGATGAAGGCTGTGCCTGGGCCCAACAGCTGGGCTCCCTATTAGCAAGGCTGATCCAGCCTCGGCCACTGCTGAATGTCCAGTTCACTATGAGCAGAGGTCAACACTAGGCTTCTACGGGGTACTATGCTTGAGGCTGTCAACCAGCCACTTGGTAGTAAGTTGCTTACATGGGAATCCCTTCACTGGAAACGGCAGCAATTTGTTTCAACTGGGATCACTTATCTCCAGTGTGGGTTCGCCTTTGCTGAGGCAGTACCTTGGCCTGCACTAGTACCAGAGATTTACCAACACGGATTCCACGTAACATCATGACAGCACAAGCAGAGGACCCACTGGAATGTCACTCAGGAGGTGCCAGCCTGATAAAATATCGAAACAGCCTCTTAAAGGCACAGAAAAAATGCCGGCTTGGTGATGGACCTCATGGGGTTCAAGATGAACTGATGGCCAATAGACAGTGCTGGGTGCCCAACAGGTAAAATGCATGGCTCCAGGAAACAAGGGGTGGAAGTAGAGGTGGCCCCTCTCACCATCACTCCAGTGACCCAGTGTGAACTTTATGGTCATCATCCCCGTAAGTGTAGGTCTGGCAAATCTAGAGGTCCTGGCTCAAACGGGTGGGGAAAGCTTCCACTGTGGAACACCAAAAGCCATAATGGCCCCTGTCACTTGGGCTCCACATGCCAGAAGACCAGCAGGCAGAGCAGACTTTCCACACTGGCCAAAGTACTTGATGCTGATTACTGTGAAGTGCAGAGCTGCCGCTGCACAGAGGCAGGAAGAAGTCTATCTGAAAATCAGGGGGCTCTCTAGGGTCTTGCTAGATGCTCCTATGACCAGTCTTAACTGTGATGGGACTATTATGGCAGCTAGAGCCACTTAAGGGTATGGCAAGCAGGGACTTGGACCGTATAGGGTGAAGTCTGGGTCACTTCACCAGACCAGGGCAGCAGAAGGCTGGCCACAGGTCAGAGGACTCCAGAAGGGGCCGAGGAGGAACGAGATGATAGACATCAACTCTACTCTGACCAGTACCGCAGCAGGAGCTCTGGCTCCTCTTACCAACCCTCTTCTCCCAGAGACCATGACCAGCACCATCCTGAAGAATGAGTGAAAGGAACCCAGCATGAGCTGTGGGCAGAGCTGAGCAGGGCCAGGGTGGCACAGCCGATGCCCCTGCACTCCGGTGTGGCCCCGTTATGACGGTACCTCAGGTCCCTTCATCCTCGACAGATCAAGCTGCCAGAGCCTGCATTGCCTGCACTCAGGGTGCACTCCAGGGAGCCGGAGGTGTCTGAGTCATTAGTCAAGGACTAATGGGTACAGAGGCAAAAACTCTGCAGCTCTGGGGTGTGACCACCCTGTCTCCAGAGCCCTCTTGGGGCCCCAAATTTACCCCCCAACACTTGGCTCAAGGCGCAGCATTTCTGGTCCTTCTCTTCCCCATACATTTCCCCAAACCTCTCTCTACTGGTTTTGCCTAAGAAATAACTTTTACAAGAACCCTCATCTCAGTGTCTGCTCCTAGGGAGTTCAACCTAAGACAAATAGATGAGATTTTTTTGCCATTTAATTCTAACTTAATGCATTATACTCAAAGAATATTGCTTTATGATTCAGATTCTTTGAAATCTGTTGAGACAAGTTTATGTTCCAGCACTTGGTTAGTTTTTAGACATACCCCATATATCTTCTATAAGAATGAGCATCTCCAATTTTATATATATATGTAAAGCAAACCTAGTATTTCAAAATATTCTAAATTCTTATTGGTTTTATTTTATACATTTTTGGTGCCAAGCTGTTAGACACATACAAATTTAAAAGATTCTTGTCTTCCTGGTGAGTTGCCACCATGGAGCTCCCAGGTGATTCTCAGGCCACCACCCTGGAAGATCTTTTGGGAACGACTTTCTTATCCAAGTAAAAGCATTTGCTAAGACAACACCCAATCCCCAGACTCCACCTTTGGAGAGGCTCTAACCCTCTCTGCCCAGGGGCTCCTGGGGGACTCTGGCTCCAGAGAGGAGGAGCTAACACAGCCAGGGCCTGGAGACGCACTGAGGGAGCACACTCTAGAAGGAAACCACTTTGGGGTGCTGGAGGAGGGACAGAAAATGCTACTTACCGCAATCTCAGTTACTAAAATATCAGTAATACTTCCCAACACAGTGACAAAGTCAAAGACGTTCCAGGCATCTCTGAAATAGTTCTAGAGACAAAGAAGGGAGTTAGTGCTAGTGGCTGGTGAGGGCTCTGCCAGGCAAGGAGTTGCAGGAGGTGGCCCCTACTCAACGAGGGCAAGGGGACATATGGGCCCCCTAGGTGCGATAGCACAAGGCCAATGTAAGTAGACACCACAGCCAGGCACACAGACATCTCTGGGCCTGGGCAGGCGCCTGAGAGCCATGTATCCAGAGAGGAGGAGCCTGGCCTTGCCTGCCTCCAGGAGCTGGGCTGGGGGAGAGCTCAGGCAGTCAAGAGTGTCAGAGCCACCCCTTCCCCGGGGCCCCTGCAGTGTTACATGTGGTCTGGGGGCTCTGGGGAATTCCCAGGTCCAAACTATGAGTCCCCGAAGGTCCCCCTACAGAGGAGAAGCCAGAATGCTGACCACCAAAAGGCCAAGAGGGAGCCAAGCCACATACCAGCACCCCAAAAGCGATGATCTTCAGCACGCATTCCATGGAGAACATGGATGTGAACACAATGTTCAGGCATTTCAACATCAGCTCGTACTCGTAGGGTGCGTCGTAGAACTGCCCGGGGAATGAGTGCCATTGGCCATGTGCTCTGCTGCCCCAAGACACCCCACTGGGGACCACCGTGACCTCCTGTCAGAGCACAGTGGGCAGACAGAACCGCACACCTGCCCAGCCCAAGGACACCCCTCCCCGCTACTCCCCTGTGTTCTCCCAGAACCTTTTCACTGTCTCAGCCCACAGACAACCAGGGGGACCAGGACCCACAGGCACCCTGTGCTAACCAGGATGTGGAGCAACTCCAGCTCCCATACACACCATCAGGAGAAAGGTGGACTCTGCCTGGCTTAAGTCAGGTCCCAAACCCCAGGTGGCGCCAGCTGGCGACCATGCTGGGTCCCACACACCTTCATCATCAGCACCACTGTGTTGAGGGCTATCATGGCCATGATGAAGTACTCGAACGGTGGCGACACCACAAACGTCCACGTCTTGTACTGGAATGACTGTTTGTTTTGGGGCATGTACCGAGTCAGGGGCTTGGCGCTGATGGCGAAGTCAATGCAAGCCCTCTGTGCAGGGAGAAAGGAGCACTGAGAACTCGGAGGGGGAACCCGACATTGCAGCATCCACTGCGTACCACGCATGTCCCCTCATCCTTGCAGGAAGCCCCAATGAGAGAAGGCAAACTAAGGCAGCCTGGGCCTCCTCCAGGCAGCCTCGACCAACCACACACAGTCTCTTGCTGTCACTGCGCTGGCCGACAGTGGCAGCCAAAACTGACCCAACAATGAGTGATTCCCATGCAGAAGGGAAGCCCAATGGTCCTGCCCACACTGCCTGTCAGGGGAGCCCAGCAGAACGTCCATTGCACACGTGTAGACAGGGCAGGAGAGGGAGCTGCCTACCTCGTTCTTCTCCAGGCTGCATTCAGACATCACCTTGTCCCCCTGTTCCTGGAAGGTGATGATGATCAAGGCCACGAAGATGTTGACAAAGAAGAAGGGGAACACCACGAAGTAGACCACGTAGAAGATGGACAGCTCCATGCGGTACCCGGGGCTCGGGCCCTGCTCCTCATAGGTGGCATCCACGGAGTGTTTCAGCACCCTGGGCAAGAGCAAACACCAAGCATCAGGGGAGCCCGTGAGGACACAGCCCTGGGAAAGTCATGACCTGCATCACAGGCGAGGCTTCCACACCTGAGCCCAGAGACGGCGCGAGGAGAGGGGACTGAGCCCAGGGATGGCTCTGCCACACTGTGGGCCCAAGCCTGGTCCACGGGACTGCCATCTCTCCTGGAGGTAGGCTACCTTCCCAACAGAGTTTGTACTCAGAGCTGTTGCAGGACCTCCAAGGGGAAGCCTCTGGGTGGCTGAGGTCCTATCCCCAGAAGGAGAACTGGAAGAGGCCCAGCAGTTCTGCCCGGCCCTGCTCACTCCCAGCTCACACCAGCCCACCTGCTCACACCCAGCCTACCCACTCACACCCAGCCCACCTGCTCACGCCCAGCTCACGCCCAACTCACCAGCTCACGCCCAACTCACCAGCTCACACCCAGCTCACCTGCTCACACCCAACTCACATGCTCATACCCAGCTCACCCACTCACATCCAGCTCACCCGCTCATGCTCAGCTCACTAGCTCACACTCAGCTCACAAGCCCACACTCACCTCACCTGCTCACACCCAGCTCACCAGCTCACACCCAGCTCACCAGCTCACACCCAGCTCACAACCAGCCCACCTGTTCACACCCAGCTCACCTGCTCAAGCCCAGCTCATCTGCTCACGCCCAGCTTTACCTGCCTTCAGAAAGCCCTGGGTTCAGCAGGGTCTCCTGCCAGAGCACCAATCCTACCTTCTGAGGGGTGTTCTTCCCAGCTCCAAAGGAAGCCCCCTGCCATCCAGTGTAGCACTGAACACATCCATCCCTCTGGCTGCCCTTCACTGAGGCCAGGGGGCTAGCACAGGGAGATGCCAAAGAGTCCCATCCTCCCTCTGGCCTCCAGCCACTCAAAAAGGACTTTCAGGAGATCACTATGCTGCACTCTTTGGTTTAATCTTCTCCTCTCCCCCAGGCTGCCCACTCTTGGAGGGCAGAGCCACGTCTCACCTGGTAGATACAAGAGCCTACAGGATATTTGCTGAGTGACTGAAGTACAAACGAATGTGGAGTCTGGGCCTCCTGCCCATCTGCCCCCTGCTCTAGCCTGACTAGCCATGATGCACCAGCTGAGCACTCACATGGGCCACCCTTCTCCTGTGGACACTGTGAACAGTGTCAGCAGAGCCCAGAGCACGTTGTCATAGTGAAAGTCATATTTCTTCCACTGCCGGGGTTGAGCTTCCACTTCCTCCTTCTCATAATCCAAATACTGACCCCTGGGAACAGGAACATAGAGGAGGTTAGAGGTTAAACACAAAGGATCCAAATAAACCCATGTATCTACAGTCAACTGATGTTCGAAAAATGTTGTCCATTCAGTGGAGAAAGAACATTCTCTTCAACAGATGGTGCTGCGACAACTGGATTTCCACATGCAAAAGAACAGAGCTGGATCCCTACCTCACTCCCGAGACAGAAATTAACTCAAAATCAAACAAAGACCTAAATGTAAGAGCTAAAACTATAAAACTCTTAGAAGAAAACACAGGGGCTTCAGATTTTGGAATGGATTCTTAGATATGACACTAAAATCATGAGCAACAGAAGAAAAAAATAGATACATTGGCCTTCATCAAAATTTAAAGCATTTGTGCTTCAAAGGACACCATCAACACAAAGAATGGATTTGAAAATCATCTATCTGATAAGGGACTTGTCTCTAGAATACATAAAGAAATATTATAATCCATTATAAAAAAGAAAACCCACTTAAAAAATTGGCAAAAGACCTGAACAGACATTTCTCCAAAGATGATATACAGATGGCCAACAGGCACATGAAAAGATGTTCAACATCATTAACTATCAGGGAAATGCAAATCAAAATCACAATGAGCTACCACGTTATACCCACTAGGATGACTACAGTTAAATTTTTAAAAAGGAAAGTAATAAGTGTTGGTAAGGATATGGAGAAATCAGAACTCTCATACATTGTTGGTGGGAATATAAAATGGTTCAGCCTCTTTGGAAAACAGTCTGGCAGTTCCAGAAACTGTTAAACAGAATTACCATATGACCCATCAATTCTGCTTCTAGGTATAGACTCAAAAGAAATGAAAACATCTGTCCACACAAAAACGTATACACATATTCACTGAAGCGTTAATCGTAATAGCCAAAAGGTGGAAACAACCCAAATGACCATCAAGAGATGAATGAGTATAATAAAATGTGGCATCCCTATAGAACAGAATAATATTCGACCATAAAAGGGAATGGAGTACTGACGTGCTACAACATGGATGAACCTGAAAAACAGTATGCCAAGTGAAGGAAGTTAGACACAAAAGACCACGTATCATATGATTTCATTTACATGAAATGTCCAGAATGGAGAAATCTATACAGACAGAAAATAGATTAGTCATTGCTTAGGGCTGGGGCTGGGGGGGTAGGGGTGATAGTTAAAGAGGATGGGGTTTTTTTAACTGATGAAAATGTTCTAAAATTGACTGTGGTGATGGTTGCACAACTCTGTGAACATACTAAAAACCACTGAGTTATATACTTTCAATGGGTGAATTGTACGGTGTATGAATTATATCTCAATAAAGCTATTTTTGTAAAAAACAAAGGACCCCATTGCAATGGGTAAAGATGGTCTTTTCAAATAAATGGTGCTGGATCCACTGCATATCCATCTACAGAAAATTTGTCTTTATCCATACTTCACACAACACACAAAAATCAACTCCCGATAGATCACAGATCTAAATGTGAAAGGCAAAAATAAAACTTTTTGAGGAAAACATAAGAGGACATCTACCTGACGTTAGGATGGATTTCTTAAAGAGGACACAAGGAGTAAAAACATAAAAAAGATAAACTGTGCTATGTTATAATCAAAGACTTTGTTCTTTAAAAGACACCATTAAAAGAGTAGATCTGGCAAAGGATCCCTATCCAGGACTTTAAAGATTTCCTACATATCAACCAGAAAGAGACAGACAACCCACACAGGAAAACGGGCAAAGGCTTGCACAGACACTTCCCAGGAAGGGACATCCAAGTGGTGGATCCACCTGGGGAAGGTGCTCACCCTCACTGGTCATCACACAAGTGCAAATTAAACCTCAGAGAAATGCCAGGATCCCCGAACCAGAAAGGCTAAAAAGCAAAAGACAGAAGACCCCAAGTAGAGCAAGGTGTGGAGACCTGGAGCTCTCGTCCACGCTGGTGGGAGTGTGATTTTACACAAGCATTTGGCAGCACCTACAGAAGCTGAACATCAGCACAGTCCACGGCCCAGCAATTCCACCCCTAGGGGTGCACACTCCTGGAGCTGTGCACATGTGCTCCCCGACAGACAGGTACTGGAACAGCCACAGCAGCACTGTCCATGAGAGCCTCGAACTGGAAACAGCCCACATGCCCGTCAGTCAGAGGGGATACATAAGTGGTCCATTTCCACACAGGAGGATACTGCAGAGACAACTGGGACCATCGCCCACGGGCGGGGAAAGAGCTGCCCAGGCTGCCTTGCTCAGCGCCCACACTGACACTGCCTCCATTCCCCTAGTTCCTCCCTGAGGGCACCTCTCCTGTCTCCTCTGAGTGGGACGGGCCCAGGAAGGCCTGAGGCCTCCCAATGATGGTGAAAGTGGCCGTCAGCCGCCCCTCTGACCTCAGGGCCCAGCGCAGATCTCTGGGATTTACAGAGCCCTCCAGCAATACCCCAGTGGCTCCCATTAGCTCCCTGGATGTCTGCAGGCAGGAAGAGCACGTCCCTCAGACACAGCTGCTCCCTGACTCTGCTGAGGAGGACGTGCTGGGCTGGTGTGGCCCTGGGGACAGAGGGACACCCCTCTGCTCTCTGGTGCATCCCAAGCGGGCCCCTCCTAGAGCCCTCACAGGGTGTTCCCACTGCAGGCTTTGCAGTGGAGTGGTCTCTGCATCATGGAGCCACACCCCTGCCCCCAGCCCTGCCTTGGTTTACCTGCAGTCCCTCTCCAGCTCCTTGGACTCGTCAGTACAGTAGAAAAACTTTCCTTTGAAGAGCTGCACAGCAATGACGGCAAATATGAACATGAAGAGCATGTAGACAATCAGGATGTTGAGCACATTCTTCAGGGAGTTCACCACACAGTCAAACACGGCCTGGGGGGAGGGGGACGGAGCCGTGAGCGGAGGGGCAGGACACCCCCAGGCTCAGAACCTCCGGGGTACCCTGGGCACTGGAGGACCTTGCAAGGCCCTGAGGGCTGTAACCGTGGAAAAGATCTGCTGCCAGCTGCCTTGGCAGAGAAGGCTGCCTGATGCTGTCTTTCTCTCAGGAGGGGCCATCTTGGACTTGATGGAGTGGGAAGGTGGGCCGGATGCCAAGGAGAACCTGATGCTGCAGGTCTGGGTTAGGCCACGTAAGCAAGGGCGACCCCCAGCCCAGGCCGACCTGTGTCAGGAGGGGCTGACACAGCGGGAAAGGAGTGGAGGTGGGTATGTGGCCAAACCCCAGCTCCGGCACCTGGGCCCTGCCAGTGGATCACACTTTGCCCCTGCCCATCAGTGGGAACCGACACAAGGCAGAAAAGCAGTGATGCTGTGGCCAGCTCCAGGACAGAGACTTTTGGCATGCTTGGTGGCCCAGAGGTGACTCTGTCGCCTGTTACCACCACCGCCTGGGCTTTCTCTCAGGTTCTTCCCCACCTGGAAGCTCAGCTTTCCCCGTACTCCCAGTAGTGCTGACCCTGGCCCTGGTCCCTGCTTCCCAGAGCTGAGGAGAAGCCTGCCTCCTGCCCTGGCTGTGCAAAACGGCAAATCCACAACCATCTCCCAAGACACTGCCAGGCACACTCCAGACAGCAGCAGCTGCCTCAGCAAATGCAGCCACTGCCCAGTTGCACAGTGTCCATGGCACCCTTTACCTGCCAGACCAGGTCCAAGTCCCCACCTGGTGCAGAGGGCCTCTGGCTGTCTGCGGGTCACCTCCCAGCCCAGCCCTTCACACGCAAGCTCTAAGCAAAGTGCCTCCTGTAATTCCCGTGTTGCTTCATGTCTCCAAGCAACTTGCATTTGCTTCAACTCCAAGGCTTGCATTTCCAAGCTGCTCATAATACTTAACTGTACACAGTTTTGGAGGATTAAATGAGTTTAAGCACATAAAGCATTTCGCACAGTGCCTAGCACAAGCTCAATAATTATTAGATTTTAGCACAACTCTAAGTGTTTGGGTTCACACTCTTTCCTTTATCCAGAACCTCAGCCATACACACCCCTTAAGGCCCAGCCCAATAACCACTTCTTGGGAGCTCCTGCCCTCCCGGCATCTCCCCCATGATCCTCCGCCTCTCAGCAGCCCCTTCCTCCCTGTACTGCAGCTGTTGATGAAAACGCACTGTCCCATCCGGTGCCACCGGGATGGAGGAAGGAAGAAGGGCCTCACAGGACACCACTGGGAACAAGCTCTCCTTGGGGGAGGGTCACAGAGCGAGAAAGTCCATCCCACCCACACAATGCATGATCTGAGAAAAACTAATGTGGGGCCTCCCCTCAGCTCTGCTCACCCCCACTCCACATGGGAAGCTGCAGCAAGAGAGGGCCAGTTACATGTACACGTGTGCACACACATGCATAGCACACTGCACATACATGCATGCACACATTCACACACATGTGCACACAGACATGCACACCTATGTGTGCACACATGCACTGCACACACGTGTACACACACACCCATATTCACACATGCATGCACACTCACACACACAGCCCTGCACGCTCCTCAAGCCCCAACTCCAGGCTCTCACCTTGAGCTTGGGCAGCCGTTTGATGGTCTTGAGGGGTCGCAGGACACGGAGGACTCGCAGGGACTTGATGGTGTTGATGTCTTTCCCTTTGGATCCTCTAGAAGGGAGAAGCCACATGCAGACAGGCAGGATGCACACCTGTGCCCAGCTCCCATGAAGCTCCCGAGGTCTGGGTCACGCTCCTGGGTACATTTTGTCTTGGGCCCCAGGGTGGAGGGTCTAGGAGCAGGGAGGCCTTGGCCCTGCAGGCACCACAGGCCACTGCGTCTCCTCCTACAGGTGGCCTGGCCAAGGCCTCATCTGAGTGGACAAGGACCAGGTCAGCAGCACCTGCAGTCCAGGGAGAGCTGAGCTTCCAGATGGGAAGAACCTGTTCTCCCAGCACCCCTTAACCCCCACCCCCAAACCAGCTTCACTGCTGTGCTGAGACCAGCAGTGAGAATGAAGAGGACAGAAGGGGCCTGCACCAGGACTGCAGACCCCACCTGGGGCCAGCACCAGGAAGCCCACAAGCAATGTGCCACCATGTCCATCAGTGCTAGAGCCTTCTAGAAGGGTTGGTTTCCCCTGCTTTTCACTCCTGGTAGAGGGAGGTCAGGGGACATGTCTAGAGCTCCCTGCTGGATCATGTCCTCTCTCAGCTGCCTAACACTCATCTAGATGATGTAAAACTGACAGAGAAGGAGAGGAGAAGAGGGATGGGAGGCCTGGAGGGAGGGAAGGAGGGATGGAGAGTAAGAAAGAGAGAAAATAGAGGAATACAGAGGCAATGTAAGAGACAGGGGTGGACAAAGAAAGACAGACCAAGGGAGAGAGAAAGAAACAGAGAGGGAGAAAGGGAGGGAGAGAGAGGGGGAAAGAGCCCAGAGAAACAAAGAGGGAAGCAAACAGAGACACCAAGTCACCAAGAAAGAAGCAGACAGGTAAACCCACACAGGGGGAAGGGTGGTAAGACAAGAAGTCAGGTAAAGAAAATTCCAGGCACCAGAGGCAAGCTCAGAAGTCCAGCATGGTGGGCCCAGATCAGGTCCCCTCACAGAGGAAGCCAGAGAAGACCCAAGTGGCTCCCTCAGGCTGCCAGAGGCCCAGGAATTGTCCGACTCCAGGGCTGGCCCCTCCACCAATGCAAAGCCAGGACAGGAGTTTGAGGGCAGGGTCTTCTGAGAGGCCTTCACGGCTTCCTGCTAAGGAGGCCATTCTCAGAAGCAAGGCCACACCCTACTTGGGGGGGCAGTGGCTGAGGGCTCAGGACTCAGGGCCCTCTCCCATTCTGCTCAGAGGCCACCTCCCCAAGTCCCCCAGGAGCCTGCAGTGGGGAGGGGACTGGACCCCCAGTGGTCTTCCTCGGGCCGCAGCCAAGCTCTGGGGAGAGTGAGCTGCAAGGCCCAGGCAGGCACCGTGAGGAAAGGAGAGCTGGGGTGACCCACCCCCTTCTTCTCTCCCAAGACCCAGCGGGGGCCCACCCTCCAGAATCAGATCCAACTCCCCCTGAAACACCCAGCCTCAGACAGCCAGGTCAGCTATTCCATCACCCAGCGTGCCCATCCCCACCCCCAAACCAGCTTCCTCCAGCCGCCCTGAGACCAGCACCAGAAGGAGAGGGGACAGGGGAGGCCTGCATCTGGGTGTGGGTCGGGAGGTGTGGGCCGCTCCCCGGGCACCTGTGTCCTGGAGGTCTAGGGGCTGCAATTCTCTCCTGCCAGCCCAGGGCCTTTCTCCTGCTGAGGCCACCCGGCTGGATCTCACCCCTCCCCTCGTTCTCACTCCCAGGGTCCCTCACTGACGCTGGCAAAGCTGTCACTCCCTTTATGCAGAAAGAGGGTTGATTAAGACCCCCAAAGAAGAGGCAGTGCAGGGAGGCAGCCGTGGAGAAGAAAGAGAGGAAAGCCAGCCCTGACTCTGGAGAGCAGACTGGAGAGAGTGCCTCACGATGTCTGACATCCCGGCCGCCCTGCCCACAAGGCGGCTAGCACCCAGAGGACTCACTGCCCTCGGGGACCACACTCCCAGCCTCCAGCACTCCCTCGGGATGCCCTGCTCACCAGGTACCTCCTCACTAAGGACTGGCCAGCCCCAGCCGCAGCCCCAGCCCCACGGTGGCCCACGTGGGCGTGGCAGGAACACGCGGCCTGGGGACAGGCTCTTGCAGCATGCAGCTGGAGGGGAGGAGGATGAGTGGAGGTGAGCATGGTGATGACACGGTCCACAAGGGGCCGTCAGTGCGCTGTGATGTGGCAGTGCGGGGGAGAGAGGGAAGGCATTACCCCATGAAGCTCCTACCGAGAGTCCAGCAACAGAGAGACAAAGAGAAGAGAGTCAGTGAGGAGGCCTCGCCAGGCGCAGCTCAGCCTGCACCTTCCCCGTGGGCTCAGAGAAGATGAGACCCAACCCTCAGGATCTGCATCCACTCGGGGTCTTCCTTATCTCTGGGCCTCACCCCACCACATCCCCCTGTATTTCCCCCCCAGCTCTACCTGCCTCACGCCTGCTGCCATGCAGGGTCTGAGGGAGCCAATCCGGGGCCAGCCACAACAGGGCTGAGCGTTCCTCACTACGGAGCCAGAGAAAGTGGCCTAACATCCTGATGGGGGAAGATGCCCACCAGCACCCACCAGCTCTGGCTGACCAAGCGGTGCAGCCAAGATCAGGGCAGGTCAAGTTGTTCTGAAGGACTCAAGGGGCAAATACCAAACAAGCCAGAGGCCTGCCCACCCAAGTACAGAACCACGGGCTGTGTCAGGGACAAACGGGCCTTGAGGTCCTCCCGACCCCACACAGCCCAGACCCAAGCAGACAGGGATGGAGCTACAGACAGCCCACGGACGCCAAGGGGCCCCTCCTTCCCTCACCCCCACACCTCATCAGGGTTCTGGGAACTGCAGCCCGCCAGATCCAGAGCAAACGTGGGTACTTACGAGAAGGCAAACGCCACCAGGGCCCCACTGACCACAATGAAGTCCAGAATATTCCACAGGTCTCGGAAGTAGGCCCCAGGGTGCAGCAGCAGTCCCAAATCAATCATCTTCAGAGGAGAAACACACTTTAGGGTATCGAATATTTCAAAAAAGAAAGGCAGAGCCAGGCTTCAGAGTTTTGGGGTTGGGGGGATGGATGTCACTCCAGATCACGCCCTCCCAAGGGAAGGGGACATGGCCCAGCTCATGCCCTGTCAGGGGAGGGGACATGGCCCAGCTCATGCCCTCTGAGGGCCTCAATGGGCCTTTTGACCACAGTGTAATTGACCGTACCTTGACCTACATGGTCTCGATTAGCTGAGATCCTGCCTGGGCCCCCATCTCCCCTGGTCTCCTCCTGGAGACCCTCCTCCATTGCTGGGCTGCAGGCACACATAGCCCCCAGGAGCTCATACCCTGCCCAGACCCTCAGAGGGTCAGCTCCATGCAGCAGGAGGAAGAGCTGGTGGGATTCACAGGGACCTGGTTCTGCCACTCCTAGAGCTGTGATTTTTGGTAAGCACCTTAATGTCCCTAAGCCTCAGCTTCCTCATCTGTAAAATGGGATGACAATGGCTGCCCCCCCAGCAGTCTGCAAGGGTAAGTGAAGAAGCAGAGGCACACATACAAAAAAAGCCTCCCTGAGTCACGTACGTGGGCACACCCTAAGCTGCACTGCAGTCAGAGACTGCACACATGTGTACACATTCAACCACAGTGAACACACACCTGTGCAAACACACGTACCGGCCACTCATCAGACATTGATAAGGGAGCAACGCCTGTCAATACTTAGAGACAGAAAACAAAGGTCACAACGAAATGGTCGATTCTTAATCTACCATCAAATACTAGTCCTTTTAAACAAAAGTCTTCAGCACCCACTTGCCATAATCTTTGGGCACTGAGGCCACTGCCCTCTCCCGGAGCTCTCCTTCTTCCCAGCCCGACGTCACGGGCCCTCCTCTGCTGTCACGAGACAATGCTGAGGGTGGGGCTGAGCCCACGCTCGCACGTTAAGGGGAGTCATGGTGGAGACAGGCATGGCTGAGCTCCCCCAAGGCTGTGTGACATGGTGGTGACTCCTCCATGACATCAAACCTGTCTTGCAGGTGCATGTGCCCTCACGCCACCACACACGTGTGCATGCGTTCTCTCCCTGAGCACACACCCAGGGCACACCCTCCACACCCCTTCATAAGAGGGTACCAGCCCCATCCCATCTCGGTCATGAGGCAGGATGAGTGAGGCCCCAGGGTATCTCACCTTTATCACCATCTCAAAGGTGAAGACGCCTGTGAAAATGTAGTCCATATATTTCAGAGCCTAGAACCAAAAGGAAGGTTATTCACAAACGCTAGGCCAGAAGCTTGAGCCAGGGCCGTGTCAGAGGCTCCATGTTTCTCCTCCAGGCTTCTTAGCAGACAACCCACCAGCCAGGGGGCCTGCAGGCAGCGGTTGTGAGGAGGGCAGACTCGGCGAGCATCCCTGTGGGAGCAGTCCCCTCTGGCAGCGGTCCCGGCTCTGACCCTGGGCACATCTCCACTCTTCCTGTCTCTAATGCGGGGCTGGACCAGGTGGCACCCCCAGACCTTCGTGCTCACACTCCCAGAGGGAAGAGGAGTGCCCAGTGAGCAGACAGGACCCGGCACCACCCAGCCCTCCACAGCCTCACAGCAGCACTCACGTTGTTCCTGGGCGAGTCTGTCCTCACAGGGTCCTCAGCAGCCAGGGCGATGCTGCTCAGGGCAATGACCACGAGAATGACCATCTCGAAGTACCGCATGGTCACAATGTAATGGCAGAAGCGGCGGAGCCTAGAGGATAAAGTACGGATCACGAGATGCCCAAAGATGGGCCAGGCTGGTTCCCTCACTGGAGCACAGGCTTGGCCTCTGCCTGCAAGAAGGTGTTTTTGCTAAGTGTCCCTGTGGTTGGGAGACAGTGGCCAGGCGACTGAGACTCTTGAGAGGCTGTCCCAGGAAGGGGGGTGAGAAGGCTGCCAAAACCCACAGCAGGGGCAGCAAACCACAGCTTGCAGCCAAATTGGTCTGGTCCCATTTGTGGACCTGAAGTCCTTTGGAGCACAGCCACGCCCACGCATTTACCTACTGTGTGTGGACGGCCACACCTTTACAGGTTCACAGGCCTGGGATGGAGCGAGCTGTTCAAAGAGGAGGAGGCTGAACACCAACACTCCTGCGGAGAGCAGGCCCCCCTTGAGAGCCCCAAGACTTCTCTGGCCGTGCTGAGTATGGTGTCCTTTTCTGAGCCCCCAGAGCAGCATGTGCACACCTGTATTTCAGTCACCTGTCCACCTTCGCTCACCAGTCAGCATTAGTGACCACTATTCTGCTCCATTCAGGCACGTTCTGGACACTGGGGCACAGCAGTGAACAGGACGCCAGTCAACAGTGCGACATAAACCAACGGGAGACTCTCAGACACTGACAAACGCTACAACACTGCTGTAGACAGCGACCCGAGGTCGGGGGGGCCCTCTAGGGGGACAGTGAAGCCGATCCCAGCGACCCAGTAACAAGAAGGAGCAGCCATGTAATGAACACGAGGCAGACTGTCTTTCCTGCCACTGCCAGGGAGGTGCTCTCCCAGCGCTTCCTCTGCATCCTGCCCCTCCCACCTCTGCAGGCTCATCCGCTGCCCCACTAGCCCCTCCAAACTCTTCCCCTCACCAACACCTCTGTATTCCCAAGCACCTTCCATCTTAAAGCACCTTCCACCTCCCACCCCCAGCCACACTTACCCACTTCCCTCTCTCCCGTAAAGGGATCTATTATGCTGCCCTCCTCCTCATCCCCGACCACTGCTGTCTGGGTGCGGAGGCACTGGCTCTGGCCTCCACACCCACTAGAGTCGCCCTTCCCAGGGCCACTGGCAACCTGACCTGCTGGCTCTTCTCCCTCCTATTGAGACACCTTCCTTCCACCTCCACAACGCTGTGTCTCGGGCCCTCTTCTGCCCCTGTTCCTCTTTCCTTCTAATCAACAGTCAGCAGTCCATCTCACAGCTGAGTCTCCACCACTTAGCTCTACCTGTGGCTCAGACTCCTGAGTCCACCTAGCCATGAGACATCCGCCAGCTGCCCCAGGCTCTGTAGGATCTGCACTCACCTCCCCCCACCCCCAGCTCAGCCAGGGCCCCAGCTGTCAAGCAGAAACCCTGGGTGTCATCTTTGACATCTCCCTCCCCTTCCACATCTAATTTATCATCAAATTCTGCAGATTCTGCCTCTGAAATTTCTCCCCAAGCATTTCACTTCTAACCGTCACCACCATGACTATCCTCACTAAATCACCACCATCTCCTCCTGAAAACCTTGACCACTACTAAGTGGTCTCCCGTCTCCAGTCTTCTCACCAAAGGATTCTGCTGAAGTGCAAACTGATTGTGTCACACTCACCTAGGCTGTTACGACCTCTCCACGCTCCTCAGGGCTCTTCATCTAACATCAGGTTTCTCCACAGGACACACCACAGGCTTTTCTCTACCCAACTCTGTCTCCAGCAGTTCTGAGCCTTATGTCTGTCACTTCTGGACCACTGTAAATGCTCTCTTCTCTACAAAGAATGCTTGTTCCTCCCTCTTCATCTTAACTCTTATTCACCCTTCAGGTTTCAACTGAGATCTCTCACTTCCTCCAGGAAAGCTCCGCTGACGTTCCCCGCCTGCTGCCAGATACCAGAACCTTCCTACTCTACCTTTCCCACTCTGTATTTATGTGATGGGCCACCTGTTCTCCTCCTCCACCACACCATCTGTGCTGAGGCAGGGGCCTTGTCTGTCTCCATCGCCACTTTACTCCTAATCCCTAGCAGAGCAGAGGGTGTTCCCAATGAATGTGAGTTGAATGAATGAAGAGAGAGGAAGAAGGAGGATGGATAATGGAGGGCTGGGTGCAGAGACTGCTGGATGCCTGAAGGAGAAGGGCTGGCTGGACAAAGGGTAAAGGATGGAGCATGAGTCCACAGGACCCTGCTGCCCTCTGACCCCTGCCCTGGCCACGCTGGCTGCTGGGTGGTTCCACCTTTGCTCTCCCTGTCACCATTGCCCAGGGTGCTTTCCCTGCCCTTCCTCTCGTCTTTGCTCTAATCTTCCCTCCCACGGAGGCCCAACCTGACCCTTCCTCCCTCCTTCCAGCACCTCCAACAGTCCGTGTCTCAACTGCCCACTCTGCGTCTCCTCTTAGCACTTACCACCCTGTGACACCTTCTGTCCTCCACTTATTTGTCTTATTTGCTGCCTGTCTCTCGACTAGCACATAAGCTTAATAAGCACAGGGGTCCCTGTCTGCTCTGTTCATTACTGTGTATTCCCAGCACCCAGAACGCTGTTTAGCTCATAAACACTGGTTGAACTAATGAAGGCAGTTGGACTGATGAGTGGATGAGAAACGCGTGGTGACTATGTGACAGATAAACAGAGAGGAGCAGACATGGATAGACACGTGAGTGAACGTGATGCCCACACGTGCACACATGGATGGTGGGCATGAGGCAAAGGTGGACGAGTGGAAGCATGTATGCATGATGGATGTAAACTGGGTGCGTGTGTGCGGAGACAAACACACGCCACAGCAGGGGTAAAGAGCAAGGCTCTGGAATTGACTGTCTGGGTTCAAACCCCAGCTCCACCACTAAGACAGGCTATGTGTCTGTGGACAAGCCACGGCACTCCCCTGTGGCTTCGTGCCCTTATCTGTGAAGTGAGGTAACCACAGTATGTGCTTTGTGGATTGCTGTGATGATAAGGACGTTACTATATGTAAAGGGCACGGAATCCGTGCCTGCCAGGTCACTCAAGCACATGCAGCGATCATGTGCATGTGGATCATGGGCCACGGACAGATGGGATGGGCACACAGCAGGGGCGGGTGAAGGAGACTCACAGGTTGGTGGGGCTTAAACAGAACATGGAGCTGTATGGGACGATGGGTCGGGGGCCACTCCTCATCACATCCTCAGCTTCCACCTCCTTCTTCCCCTCTGCTTGGCTTTCCAGGTCCACGTTACCACCTACAAGGACACAGGGCCGCCAAGTTAGGGTGTGGCGCACATAAAGCTCACGCCACACAGGTCTCACCCAGGCAACAGACGCTCTCCCAGCTCCAACCCCACAGGCAAGTGGGGCAGGTCCCTGGGAACGGCGTGTGGCTAAGAACCCAGCTTCACACGAGACTCCCTGCAATAGCAGTCAGACCACGACTGAGGTGAATGGGGCCAGGATGGAGCCAGCACTGGAGAGTTGGGACCATCTGCCACAGAAACCCTAAGAGAGCCTTCCTCACCCTCGCTTCACCAAGCACTGCACTCTTGGCTCCGGATGCCTCCGCCTCCAGCAGGGGCTGTCAGTCTAGATGTTCTGAGAACACCAAAGCCTCCCTCAGCCCCCAAGACTGGGGCTGGTAGGCAGCCTGTTCCCAATTCAGCGCTCACCGCTCGAGTCCACAGGACCCTGGAGAAAAGGCACCGCACGGCTGCGTGGTGAGGACTCCCCACGGGACCTGGAAGAGCAGGGGCAGCCCTGGCCCACAGGCGCTCTCCTGAAACTGGTGATCCAGTCTGACCTGGCCCGGGTGCTCTCCTTCAGGACCCTAGCGAAGGCCCCACCCGCCAAAGACTCCAGCGCAGGGCACAGGCCAGCTCGCAGGCAGGCGCTGCCACAGTCCACACTCGCACTCTGCTCCCCACTCCTCCTCCCCTCCCTGAGGCCCGTCCTTTGCTCTCTCAGCAACCCCTCTCAGGCTTGGCTCCTGCAAATCAAACTCCCCAGGGTTAAAATCGCTGTGACCTTTGTTCTTTTTAAGTAGATTTGTCGTCCGTGCATACTACTTTTCTCACAGTAGTTCTTCATTTTTAACTACTCTAACGTATATTTCAATTCTGTGGGTGACAGAGTTCCCGAGACCTCAGAGACGCCCAGGGAGACAGTGCAGTGAGTTGGAGCCAACGCCTACTGTTGTACCTCATTTTTACTTCCTAAAAAAACATAAAAGCAAAGAGGATGTTCGAGAGCAGCAGAAATGAGGGAGGTTATCTCCAGAGCTTGTGTGAAGAACAAGGCTCCAAGCCTCTCCCTCTGACCACTGGCCACTCTGAAGTCCTGCAGGGTATAGCTGGGCCAGAGAAAAAAGCCTTGAGCTGAATGTGAAAACAGCTCAAGCCACAGCAGTAGCGGGTTATGCCTCCTAGGCTGTGTGTCTACCTCCACCCAGCACCATCGATTTCCTTGCTGAAGGCATAAATTACATAATCTTCTTAGAAAGCAATTTGGCAATTGGCCCTAAAAAATTCTATCTATTGATTTAATTTGTAAGTCATTATCTCCTAAGGAAATCAAGCATGCACACAAAAATCTATATCCACAAAGGTGTTTGTTGTAAGTTCTTTTACAATAACTAAAAATTATAAAACGTACAACCACAGGAGATGGACTAAGTATGCAATATTTATATGAAGCATTATACTATGGATATTAAAAATGCCTACAAATAGTTTAAATGACAAAAGAAGAGCTTTATGATACGGTAAGTTAAAAAAAAAAAAAAAGACAGGCTACATACTTGTATATCCCAGACGAGCTCAACTACAAAAACAACACGTGTGGGGGAGAAGCAACACCAGGACAAGGATAACCGGGGATCTCTGACGCCGAGGTCATTCTCTTCACGCTGCTTTTCACATTTAAGAAGACGTTTCAGGATGAGCATGCATTACTTTTACATTAAGGAACATGGATTATTGTAGAACCACAGCTTTTCAGACGCTTCCACAATAACAATGAAGCAGACCTAAGAATAAGTAAACTGGGAGAAAAGAAGCAACGTGGACTCAAGGAAGAACGCTGCTGCTCAAAAACAGTGGGACAAAGATGCCAGAGCCTGGATGGAAATACTGCTCCTGAAACAGATTTACTACAGCAAAAACCATCAATTAAGTCAAAGCAGACCAAAACACAAGCAGGGGGAGAGAATCAAAATGAGACCTGCAGCAGACTAAGTAAACTCATTGTTGGAAGCAGTTTACTAAAAAAAAAAAAAAAAAAAAGACTTGACAGTAACAAAAGTAAATCACTGAAACAGAAGACAATCAAGCAAGATGGCCAGACACAGAGGGTGAGTACAGAGAGGAAGAGAACATTCACCAGAAACAGCCGTGTGCCGGACATGTCCAGGTGCTTTCCCCTCTAACAGCACTCACTGGCATGTATTATTACCTCCATTTTCCAGATCAAGAAACTGAGGCTGAGCTGACGAATCACCTGTGGGGACACGATGCACCAAGGCTGGGACAGAACCCTGAGCCATGGCCTCCCTGCAAGGCAGGGAGGCTGAATGAGGCTTCACAGAAACTGCTCCCCTCACAGGGGCCACAGTGAGCCCAGGCTGCTGGGGCCCTGGGCTCCCGGGAAAGCGAACGTCACTCCCCTCTGACAAAACATCCATCCTGGCCCACAGAGACCCCACAGATTAAGGCAACCCTTCTCAACTTGAAGAGACTGTAAGCCCTGAAGTCCCCAGACGTCCATGGTGTAGAAAGAATTTCTCTCCTATACACTTAGAGTGGCACTAGCTATGTGCCATCCTTGGGAGAACTGAAAAAGTAGTCAATCAATTCATTTTCTGTAGGACTTAATTATCTCACAAAACCCCAGTTGAGAAAGGGTGGATTAAGGTCAATCATATATGAACTCAAAATAAAAAATATCACCAAACAAACAAGGAAGCGAGGTCACCACAGTGCAGGACAGCAGAAGCAGGAGCAGATTTACTGATACTGTTTACCCTCCACGGACTTCAGATGTGAGACGTTTTAGACGAGAAATATGAAAAAACTCAATATAAATACATAAAGAAATTAAAAAAATGAATCTTAAAAAAATTAAAAAGCAATAAAAGTCTACAAAATTGACCCAGCATTTCAATGGTCTGTGAGAGAGAAGCTTAAAATGGACTCATTGTACCACTGAAAACAACCATAAAAGCTGAACAAAATACAAAGCATAACTGTTAAAGGCACTGGGAACCAAGCAACATGGACAGATCCTGAGAAGCTACAATCCTTGGGAGAAGGGAAGCACAGGAGGTGACGCCACAGGCACCCCAACTTTTCCCCTGAGGCCATTTTCCTATTTATAGTGCAAGGAAACAGAACCCGAGCAGAAAGCAACACTCTTACTGGGAAGAGGAGAGAAAGACTGGAGACAGAATGACACAGTGTCTGGGAACGAGGAGCAAAGTCCCAGAGAGGAGAGAAGCACAGGGAAGGGAGCCCTCCATCAGGCAGGATCAGTCCCCTCCCATCACCCCTGCACACGCCCAAGATGAGGCCAGTCTCTACCAGAAGCAAATGCCCTCGAGGAAGCTCACCTCAAAGGAGAAAGCAGGGTTGAAGGCTTGATACTGGGTGCAAAAGCCAATACAGATTTAACTTTGCCGTTATTTTTTATTGGGATTGTTCTTGTTTTTGTTAGTGTTCTGGTCACAGAGCTGCATAGATCTTAAATCATTTGCTCTTAAACCTATTTTTTCTCCAAGGCCTATTATTTTCAGTGAATGGCATTTTCAAGAATGCACATATCATGTTACAGCAGTAACGTCTGTACTTCAGGAAGATAGAAAATGATATTAAAGGAAGGTCTCACATGCAAGAACACAAGGTAAGCCAAAACATTTGTAAGCCAAGAAACTGGTATCTCTAAATAAATAGTCTCTGTGAAGTCTAAACAATAATAATATCTATTCTGTGAGATTAGAAAAAACACTAAAATACTGGACGACAATAACAAGGGAGTCGGGACAACGCGACCAGAGCTGCTGGTCTAAGATCTTAGCATCGTTCAAAGGACTTAACAAACAACTGTAGATTTGTTATGCATGCACGATAGAATTACAAGGATAACCACTAAAAAAACAGAAATAGAATTCATAGTTTTTAAACTAGCAGAGGGAAAAATGTGATATGTAAGCAAATAAACAACCAATTATGCAATATTAAAAAAGAAGAAAAGGAGAAAAAAAGCATAGGGAAAAATGGAACAAACGTCACAACCTAAAATGGATGAAGCAAGTCCAAGGAAACCAATAATCACATCAAATATACACAACTGAACCAGGCTATTAATTGACATAGATTATCCAGCTGGATTTTTTAAAAATACAGTTATATGTAGTTTCTAAAAGATAAGCTTAAGATATAAGGCCATATAAAGGTTGAAAGTCAAAAGATGGAAAAAGATTCATCTGGCAAATGTTCATTTAAAAACAAAAAAGCCCCTATATTCACATCCGAAAAATACACTTTAAGAAAAAAATCATTATTAGAGTTAAAGAGGGTCACCACAAGATGACAGAATGTTCAGCTCCAGTAAGACATAACAATTTTGAACATATACAAAGTAGCTTAAACTACAGAAAGGAAACACACAGATTTTAACAGAAAGATGTTTTTTTAAAGAAGAAATTTTTTAAAAAGCCCCCACAAAAGAGATTCAGAAACACATGTTTACTACTTTAGAAATATACGCATTAGTACTTGGTCATTTGTTAGACTGTTGTCTGTACTGAGCTGCATGTTTCAAACTCCTCAAAATAACTGCACTAAATAAATAAATATATCTACAAAGCAATGCACATCTCTCAGTTATCGATGGGCCAGTCAGGCAAAATATTAGTGAATATACAGAATACTTAGCAATACAACTAACAAATTTGATTTAGCAGACAAATATAAAAAGCCAGTGTTGCCCAAATTAGAGGAAACATATTCCCATTAAGCACACATGGAACATTTATACAGTCGACCACACGCTAAGCCATAAAGCAATCGTTAAGTAAGTACATCTCAAAGGAAACCATCATACAGCTCATATTCTCTAATCACAGTGCAATTAAGTTAGAAATTAAAGCAGTAATCAGAAACAAAAAGGGGCCGGCCCTGTGGCTTAGCGGTTAAGTGTGCGCGCTCCGCTGCTGGCGGCCCGGGTTCGGATCCCGGGCGTGCACCGACGCACTGCT